CGAGCGAGGGATATGGAAAGGAAGCAAAATACCTGAAGAATAGGCTCAGAAGGCCACAGAATCCCGCGCAAAATGGCAGCCGTGCAAGAAAAGTCACTTGTTAATTTCATCATGTGGTCAACAAAGTCGTGTTTCGTTTGTTTAGAGAAATTACAAAACGGTGCAAAACACAGCAGAAAAGAAGTTAATTTACTGATCTATCGAAAAGATTAGTTCAGTTCAGTCTTCACATCTTTTGCAGCAAGTTTCTGCCTGGAGGATTCATACTGAAGAGAATTGCCAAATTGCGGTCAGCCACCTTTTCAAGTTTTCTTTGTGTTAGTAGGGACAGCTGCTTATGCCTTCTTCTGTTACGGTTAGAAACCAAGAAAGGTCAAGAAACCTTTATGTTCTTGAATTAAAAGCGAACAAGATTTGCCAAGTTTACGTTTGACGCTCGTATGATTTGCTTACCGTGTTTTACAAAGCATGGAGATTTCCTCGTTTTGTTTGTTCAATTTATTCAGTTTGGTGAAATGCGTGGGCGAACTTTCTTCAAAGGTTATTTATTGGTGAAAGAGTGGTATTAAGCTACGGCCGATGAAAGCAAAGCTATCGTCAAAAATATTCAAATGTACGCTAAAGCGTAAATAATCATTAACCTTTAACACTGGAGAGTCTTAAGAATTTTGGAAGTCAAAGTAATTTATCTCTACTCAGTAGAACACAAACAAGCAAAACTAGTGCAAATATCTTGGATAGTTGAATGAGAAATCTCTTATTCAACTTTTAGTATGCATAGTATCCCCTTAAATTTACCAGTTATCATTTGTTCTTGACTCGATCGCAGAACATGTTCTGAAAACATTGAAAAAACTATGTACTAAAGTACCTGACTAATTAAAATGTGTTTATTTTTTTCACTCGCTGTTACTTTGTGGACAGTATGAAGCAATCAAAATGTCTCCCAGAACCAAAATTGTCCTTTCACATTTTGGTATTATGAGATGCAAAATATGTACATTCAATGTACATAATTTTGCATATCTTAATAGGTTTCTGCTGTTTACATGTCGTAGAAGCAATAATAAGTAATAAAGTTACAAAAGTTTGCTTTCTTGGTTTTATACACGAGCAGAAAACTGTTGCTTATAATTGCATTGCTTCATAATGTTAAGTTTGATTTAAGAAAATAACTTTTAGCTCCTGAACTTATTAGCTTGAAAAGAAGGTTTGGTCCAATAGCCTAAGGCCAAGTAGTTTCTTGGGAAATATTTTTGAGGAATTCAAATTACTAGAACATTATAGTTACAGTTTGCCTAAGGGGCAGGCACCTGCATATACTTACTTACCTCATATAATAGTGAAGAACACTAACTGTAACTTCATGTTAGAAAACAAAACTTTCCTGACTGAACAAGTGTATACTATTTTTGGTAATTTCTTTTGAAGATATGGTAGAGATTTAGAAATTGAGTCTATTGTAACCACTGTATTTCAATAAAGCCCTGCAAAAAATGTACAGGACTACTTCATTTGGGCTTCGTCATGTTAACTAATAAAGGATATAATGATTAATTTCATGTGTGACAAATCACTCCTTAATTTTTGAGTTTTCTCCCCTTAAATCCCGCCATAAAAAGAGGGACATAAACAATAAATTATACGTATTTACGAAGATTTGCTACTTTTCAGTGACTTTTTCGATTGGGACCGAATAAGTTATTTAAAAGATGAAATAAGAAATGAGAAAAAATTGTACCGTTAAGTTATCAGGGCACGAAAAACAAAAGAGGTTCCAATTTTTCCAAATGTTTACTTAGTACTCAATTATGTTGTGCACCATATAATTCTAGCTTATGAACAGCTTTCAACTTTTCTTGCAAAACTACCAGAGTAGGAACAAATTTGGATTATTTACATTGATAGAAGATTTGCCGAGTAGAAGTATATGATTTGCAAGAAGAAAATGTTTCTCAAGATTAAAGATATGAAAAAAAATATGTAAAAAAGACAGAGTGATCGAGCCTTTGCTCTCCGTACATGATAAAAAGTTCCTTCTAGAAAACTGTAGACAACTCAGGATAGCACCGAAAATGCACCAGGGACTCTTTCTCTTTGTTACAAAAGGTGCATTAGGGAGTCTCAACCCTAATTCAGAGCTTTACGACTTAGTTTTAACCTTCATTTCAGTGCGTTTTAGTGAATAGTTGTGGCCTCTAAACGCCTTCCAGTTGACTCCATTGGCATGTGAAGAATGTGGACCGTTCAGGTACAGTCCGTTAAGACAGGAATCGTGGCAATCTGTGTACCACCAGGCTCCTTTGAACTTTCGTGCGCAGCTCTTATTCCAGTCGTCATTATCGTTATCATTAGTAGAAAACTGCATGCCACTAAAAGAACATTGCAAAGTGGTAAATTACGAAGGGTTACTCGACGGCAAACTTGCCTGACTGACATAGATTTAGTAGCAAAGAAAAAAGCAAATCAACTGTGAGCTCAGCTGAGCTAAAAAACTCATAACTCCTTCTCGTTGTTATTGCAGATCAGCAGACACGGTTCTCCATAATAATGCAACCTCGATTCAATAAAATCAAATCGACTTAATTCTCTCAATTTGTTTTCACGGTCATTGAATCGTTTACCTGCACTTACTTGCCAACCGTATATATTACACGGTGATTACCAAATAAAACATAAACTGCTTTTAAACTAGTGTCGCCGCATCACTGGAAGAATTCTAACACGGCTTTTTAAAACTACAATGCATTAACAGCTCAATTATTTCTCTTACTTATGGCGTGCCAGGGAGTCACCAGCCGTGCCACTGTATCCTCCAATCAACAATCGGTACTTATCCCCCTCCTCTGCCACCTTACAAATTGTGTACTCAGCGTGTCTGACGTCTCCATCAAAGTCTTCCAAGTCAACTCTCAGTGTGACGTTATCAGCGGCTGTCAAACGATGAAGATTGTCGTTTCCAAGCCAGAACTCGCCGTTCAGATCTCCAAACCCGTTTTTGTAGGATTCCCAACCAAGATAAAAGTCAACAG